CCTATCCCTCGTGTGCCTTGCATATATATATATATATATACACAGACACACACACACACGTACGTGTGCATGTGTGTGTGCTATTTCTTTTAAAAATTTCATGAAAAGTGCTGCGATAGTGTTTTAGAGAGAGCAAATTCTAGTCATAATGCGAAAATTTCACCTTCTTTTCTCCTCCTGTACATTTTTTGAGAAATAAAGTGGTACTTAAACTAAAACATAACTGTATGCTTTAATTTTTTAAGTGTATGAATTTCAATTTACACTTAAAAGGATATCAACCTTATATTTAACTTTCTTTTCTAAGCATAGGTTATGAATTAAAAATAGCATGAACGAACTTTGTTGAGTTTTCTAGTAGTTCAGATGTTGCTTACTCTTTCTATATTTTTTCGTAAATAACAAGAAACTTTTTCCAAAAAATTCCTGAGAAAACCCATAAGTTTTGAAGACCACCCAATGAATAACCTGGCTAAGTAGCTCCCATGAATGTTCTTACCCTATTCTTCTGCTGGTCTAAAGGAAGAAACCTATCGTTTAAACCTTAAAGGCAATAAACTCAACCCCAGAAATAGGCAGTGGTTGCTATAGTATAAAACTTTAATCTTTAGATATATCAGTTTTTGCTAATCTTTTTCTTATGATCTTTTGCAAAATGGCAAATTATTATTTTGCAGCCAAAGTTGAATAATGCATTGTTGGAAATGTTTCGGAATGAGTACATCGGCTCTGCTCCATACATATCCTGCTCCCCTTCACTTCGTCACCACAGACTTGGTCCAAATGACCAGTTCTTAGTCCTCTCCTCTGATGGCCTATATCAGTATTTGAGCAACGAGGAAGTGGTTTCTCATGTTGAAAATTTCATGGAGAAGTTTCCAGATGGAGATCCTGCTCAATACTTGATTGAGGAGCTTCTATTTAGGGCAGCCAAGAAAGCAGGTAATTTTTTATGTTAATTAGTATTCCCTCATGTCTCTGCAAATTACAAACTTTAGAAAGTTCATGTACAAGCATATGAAATTTCTCAATAGAAAAAAAAGAATACTCCAATGACTATGGACACAGTCCTAATCGATGGCATGGAGTGACTGTCTGACTAAGTGGTGGACAGTAGCAGAGAGAGAGTGCGTGTACCCGCCACTTGGGACATAACCCGCAACGTAAGTACCATTCTCTCTCGGACTGTCATCATGTCCATTCCATAGTCCCAATTGGACTATGGTTTCCTGTTGCCGATTCATGGTTTTCCAGTCTTGGACAGTTGGACTTATTTGGGCACAGTTGACCAATTTTATTCATGTAAAATGGTAGTCGGATTGCGTCGAATACCTGGTGGATTGAGTCCGGGTCTAGCAGATCCCGACCCATCTGGGTCTCGGTTTATGCTAATCCAGTGGCATCCAGGTTGTTATCAACTTGACCCATTTAAAGCTCCGGTTAGATCAGTGAATATTGTGATGGTATCGTGGAATTCAAAAGAACTAGAATTTCTATTGTAGCATCACCTGATTCCTTGAACATATGGCAAATTTTATTGGTGAAATCTGAATATTTTATGCATCACCCATGTGGGTTCTTTTCTGTAGCATAGTCTTCCTTGATTGCCCTAGTTATTTCAGCCCTGTTCTGTTATTATCAAAATAAATAATCAATCTTATGAGCATTATATGTTGATCACCTTAATGTTAGCAGGCATGGGTTTCCATGAGTTGTTGGACATACCACAAGGGGACCGTCGAAAGTACCATGATGATGTTACGGTCATGGTAATATCACTCGAAGGAAGAATATGGAAGTCCTCGGGTAAATACATATGAATATCTTTAACTAGACGGTTCTTTTTTGCCTGCCATCGAGAGAGAGAGAGAAGATGAAGACCGCATTATTTTCAAGTTTGGACCCCTGAAATCTCTGATACATGGCTTCAAGATAGCAAAGTTGGGGATATCCGTCTTCCAATTGGCTATTTATCTCATCCCCTTTTCTGGGCCTGGCCCTGGCCCTTGAGGATTTATTTGTGGGTTCAGATGTGGATGAAGAGAAATTTTTGAGAAAATGCCAGAGCCGTTTGTTTGCTATTTACTTGAAAATGTGAGCATTCTCACTGTTAAATAAAAGTTCAGAATGGGAGATGGAGAAAGCAAGATGAATATAGTCGCAGGAGCTTCTTGGAGGAGGTTGCTGATGGGTTTTGTTATAGGGAGCGCACAGGGATGCAGGCTGTCCATCCGGGCTCTCTCTCTCTCTCACTCACTTCTAGAGATGGGAATGTCAATCTAGAAGGGAATATCTGTTGTCCACGTTCCCTGTTTGTTAAATTTTGAGCATTTAATCATTGTGGATGGTTTTCATAGAGCTGTTTAAAAAAAAAATCTGAGATAAAAGGGGGAAAAAAAACTCAATTGTGTTGCTCAAAATTTCCCCAAAATTATACACCAGTCTCAAAAGCTACCACTCTCTCTACTTCTTGACTAAGCACAAAGTTGAAGAATATGTGCGTTATCTTAAACACATTTTAACCTTCTCACTTTGATAACTCATTCATGAGAAAGAGATCCGCAAATTATATTCATCTGCAGCATCTTTTTGTTATGAATAGTTATCAGGTGGGGCTCTTGCCCAACCAGGTACGTATTTTCAGCTAAATTTACCAAACTCCAATTCAGGGTTATTCTACTTCATACTCGTTTACATGATTGACTCATACATGGTTACGTAGAGGTGCATTTACAATGACAAGATTGTTGGGCACTTTGTTGAGCCCCAAGTGATTTGAGTGGTCATGCAAACTTGGATTTTATGAGAATTTCTTTATTTTATTAGGTGCCCTTCTAGGGACTACCTGGTTTATGGAGATTAGAGAATGTTGTCTAGATATTTGTGGACTTCCTTTCAAGCTGGTGATGCCAATTGTTTGTGTTTGTCTTTTTCAGTGTGGGTGAGAGAGTGAGAGATAGAGAGAGAGAGGAGAAGAGCTACAGTATGAAAAATAACATATTTAACATAGAGGTCATGGAGCCTACACTTCTTCTGGACTATCATTCCTGAAAGGGAACAGATGAGATCATGCCTGTCATTGAAACCAAATAAACTCTAAATTTAGATGCCGTTATATAAGCTTGAAGATAACATACAGTGTTGCCACAATGCCACAGGTATAGTCTAATTTGTTCTGCGAACCATAGAACCAAGTGTTCTCAACACTAATACAAGTGCCGGTAGTTTAACATGAACTTGATCTGCAAAACAGCCGAATGAGATCTAAAAGACCAATTCAGAGACATGGGAAAGAACTAGAAAGAACAACTAAGATAAGCATTGTACACATCTAGATTTAGATATCTAAGCAACTAAGATGAGCATAGTACATCTCTCGATGTAGATATCCCAAGCAGGGGAATTTGAAAATCTGATAATCCAATTGTACTCTTACTATTTTGAACCGCAGAGATTGATTCATTCTGTTTAATGGTTAAACCAAAAGCAGCACCACCTAAACCCTCCTCTCTTTGCTTTGAAATGAAATCTACAAACTTAATCTTGCTCCTCCCATCTGAATGCCCCTTCATGCTGTAGCCAAAAGAGACTTTGAATCTAAAGACCGAACCCACAAGACCACTTCCTCTCTAGCGGCAACAAACCACCCTGCTCTCTCCTCGCTCTGCTGAAACGGGGAACCCATCTTCTTCAAATGCAAAGAGAGAGAATCAGCCAACCCTTGAGACAACTTTCTCCCTCCTACACCAGTATGAATAGCAAAGCACGTTGGCAACCGCTCGTTGTGTTCAATCCCTTCAATCAATGCCCTCAACCACTCCTCAAATGCAGTGAATGCAGCACCAACTGATAGAGACCTAAGGTTCAAAGACCATTCCATCTCTGTCTTCGTGTTTAAGTTTGAATACAACCCGAAAAGGTTCCCTAAATAGAGCAATTCATGTGCTCTCTTTGTGAGACCCCTATTGCAGCAAATATCAATCAAACAATTACAGTAAGGTCTCCTAACTTCCACAACTGATTCGTTAAGTATCTCTCTGAATTTTTCTTTAACCATATCCAGAGTTGCTTCCTCTTTATCAAGAATATCAATAAAGTGAACCAACCTTCGATTCGCTTTCTCTAAGCAAATCAAGACACTCCCAAATTCACCATTCTTGGAAAATGTGAGCACTGAGAGAAGGCAGCCACAAAGCCTATCATCAGGTCTGACTCCTCTCTCTACCATTATATTGAATACCTCCACAACATCATCAAACCTCTTAGCTCTTCCATAACACTGGATCAAGCAAGTGAAACTCATCACATTGAGCTTATTACCAGATCCTAGCATCTCTCTAAACAATTCATGGGCCTTCTCCACTTCCCCACCATTGCAATATATGTTGAGCATTGCAGTATAGCTCCAACTATCAGGCTTACACAGCTCCGACTTTTTCATATCATCAAAGAGCTTCTCAGCTTCTTCCTCTCGTCCAAGATCGGCACACATGCTGAGCAATGTATTATACAATATGAAATCGACAGGCCAGTTGTTTGATTTGATCTCTTCCCAAAGTTCAAAAGCATCCCTAGCCCACCTAGCCTTCCCATAAATCTTAATCAGAGCAGTTAGTGTGATCACATTAGGCTGTAAACCAGAGCGAATCATTTCATCGAAGAGGCTCCTTGCTAGGCCTGGCTTTCCAGCCTTTCCCATGGCCTCTAACAAAGTATTGTACACAATCAAATTGGGTTTTATCCCAATTCCTCTCATTTCTTGGAGAACATATTGAATTCCATCATAATCTCCTATTTCACCATACATTTTGCCCAAAACCGAGAATGTCACTGCATCTGGTTCCCACCCGTCTGCTCGAGCTCGATCATATAAGCTCAAAACCTCTTCAGTTTTACCTAATTTCGCATAGACATCGAGAATTGCAGAGTAGGTCACCTCATCAGGCATCAAGCCAGTCCTGTACATTCTCTCGAACCATTCGATGGCTTTATCAAAAAAATTGCATCTTTTAGCACAGGTGATAATGGTGGAGTAAGAAACATTATCGAGCTGGATACCTTTTTCAATCATCTCCATCGCCAGTTCCTCAAGGACTTCCCATTGCTTCCCATTCCTCAGGCTCTTCATCATAACATTGTAGAAAATGGTGTCCATGGCAAGGTCCTCCTGTTCCCTCAACCAGTTAAAAAAAAAGTGGGTTTTTTGCCATGTTTTCAACAAATTCATGATCAATAGAGCATTATCTTTTGTGGGTTTTTCTCCAAGCTCTGATAAAACCACTCTGAAACCGTCTTCAGAGAGTTCAGTCTCACCCAGTTTCTTGCCAAGAGCCGGAGTTCTTTTAGGTGGGGGTTCCAGGTATAGCCAGGGCGTTTATGCCTTTGCAGAGAGAGAACAGAGGGTCTTGGCCTTGTGGGGTTTACCCATGTGGACTTGGGTTTTCTCACAGATTGGGGAGATGGGTTTTTTGCAGAGAGGAAGGACTCAGAGAGAGGTTTTAGCTGTTCAGAGAGAGAAGGTGTTGCTGTGGTTGGAGGAGGTTTTGGGGCTGACTGTGTAGGGATGGACTGGCAAAGTACGCTAAATTTGGAGGAAGTTTTCCTCCTCCATTTTTGTGGGTTTTTGAGGATGGATTTTGGGGGATGGTTGGAATGGAGATGGGTACCTGCAGGGATTGAAGCCATGGTTGGATTCCCTTTCTTTAGAAAAAGAAAGAATTTTGAGAAGTTGGGTAAGCTGTTCAGTGGGTCTTTAGATATGTTATCACCTGCAATGAATTTTGAGAAGTTGGGTAAGCTGTTCAGTGGGTCTTTAGATATGTTATCACCTGCAATTGCTGAATGAGTGTGTTTTGGAATTTGGGGTCTATAGATGTGTTATCACCTGCAATGGCTGAATGAGCGCGTTTGGAATTTGGACACGAGATGTCTAGAGAGACAAGATTTCGTTCTCGGTCGAGTCGAGTGAGAGATTCTAATGGTTATGCGCAATACTTGAATGGGTGTCTAGTGGACTATAGAAGTTCAGACAGAGAAACTTCTGCTCTGTTTTAGAGAGAGAGTGATTGCTCATGGTCCATATAGGAAGAGATCTTATCCTGTTTCCCCATGAGGCCTTATGAGATATTTATTCAACGTTTTTTCATTATGCTACCTGTTTATATCTTGCTAAATACGAACAGATATCTCAACCATCCATTATCAAGGGTGAACGGCTGAGGGGCTTCATATATCATTCTTGAGGGATTTCAGCAATGATAACATGTGACAATCTATGGACTTGCTTATATCTATGCAAATATAAAGAGGTACTATCTTATAAACAAGAGCGGGGACATAATATGTACTTAATCCCTTAGTCAAAAGATTTACTAGGGAGGATATTTTCAATCTTAATTTTTGGGAACTATATAAGAATCACTAGATGATTATTATCAAAAGAAAAAATTTGAAAATTGAGTTTTTTAACACTCAACTTTTAATAATTTGACGGTTTCTATTCAATCTTGAGATATTTTTCTTTTCAAATACATAGAGGGTGCAATTAGGATTTTAGTTTTCTTCTATTGAAGTTAATGTGCATCAGAGTGATAAAAGCCATGTCTTAAATAGGTAAACCTAGCTGAAGAAGGTCTCATGACATTGGGCACCACTCACATTTAGCATCCGTTTTGGTACATAAACAAGGACGCGGTTAGCATGCGGGCCACGAACTCACATTTAGAAATGTGGGCCTCTTAATAATTTATTTTTAAATAGAACTTGTTCCTAATTTTTAGGAAATATATAACTTTTAACATGGATATTATTAGTATGCGAAAATAAATAAATTTTAAAAACTAGAAATAATATTTTTTTAGAGAAACTATTTAAACCGTTGATTTTACTTTTTATTTGGAGGACTATTACTAAAGGGACCCGGTTTTGTTGGACGGTGTAGATCTCCGGCCTGCATAGTAATAGGTGCGACCTTGGCCACACTAAACAATTTTCCTATAAATAAACCGTGCAATTTCTATTGGAAAAATAATTGGCAACGGCGGGGCCTTAGCCAAAAATATAGCACTCCTTCATTTCTCTATATTTTGGATGATTGAGGATCTAAATTCAATGAATCTTCTTAATCCTCAATATTAAGATGTAGAAGAAAAATTATAATTTGTGCCCCCTACCCCCCCCCCCCCACCCACACACAAAAAAAAATAAAAAATAAAAAGTAGAACTCCTTCATTTCTCTATATTTTGGATGATTGAGGATCTAAATTCAATAAATCTTTTTAATCCTCAATATTAAGATCTGAAAGAAAAATTATAATTTGTAGCCCCAAAAATGCACTATCTTGAACACCATTTCCACATGCAATCCAGGTATCTAATTAAATAAGTGAAGTTATTATTATATTGGAAACTCAAAATCCTTTTTTCGGAGCACAAATGGATTTGCAGGGATTTATACTTTAAAATGATTTTTTGTCATCAATCTATGGAAAATATAGATTTTTGAGAGGGCTTCATGGTGTTACATGAGGCAGGGCACTCATGCTAATGCTCCTGCCGCACGTACCTTGAATTGCATACAACAAGAACGTTAGCTTTCATATATTAAACTACCCCAAACTGTCATTTATAATGTTGGACAGTTAGGGTGCATCATTTCTTTTCATTAATGGAAAATGTTTTCATACTTCAAGTGCAGTAATGGTACAAGTTTAGTTACGTGATTTCATATTTAACGACTAAAAGTGATTGTGTCCTAACTCATCAAAGTTAAAAAGTAATTTATTTTCTAGTGTGAACTGCTGCTCTTCATCATTATCATATCTCTTTGTAAATGAAGAAAATCCAGGCCTTTAACCGGCTCTAAAATGAAAAGCAGCAAGTGGGCAATTGGATATGGATAGAGGAAAAGGTGAGTTAAAGGAATAATAGTGCTCGATCGTTATATTACATACCTAGTAAGAGAAAAGTATAAAGATTCTTTTGCTTTATGAAATAAATAAATAGCTCCAAAGATATTAATAGAATCTAATCTGTTGAATATCTATTTGTTTAATCGAATTGTATTTTTCTCTCAACATCACCATAAACTCCATCTCTCCAATTATAGTAAGAGAGAAGACTTAGGGGAAGATATGAATCTAATATCTTTTGAGAGAGAGGGGGAAGATGTGAAATTCATATATTGAGAGAGAGAGAGAGAGAGAGAGAGAGCATGAGGCATATAAGTTCTATTGTACTGCATGGGCTAGGAAACCATAGTCCCTTGAGGCTATCACAATGATGCATCACAATGCTAGCAGTAGATTGAGAGAAACCAAGGCGTGGTGCTCTGGTTCTCACTTTCTTTCTTTCAAGGTCCAAGGATTTGGTGAACATTCATGACCCCAGTGACAAAGTTTTCCATAGTCCATTGAACTATAGTGGGTTTTCATGGTCCACTTTATGATTTACTTTCACTAGAAATATTGGCTTAAGGAAATTACCACAAATTATGGCACTATCAATCTTAATCTAAATCCCATGTGTCATCATTTTCATTGAAGTTTTTTTTATGTGAAATTTATGAAAATACACAAGTGATGAACTAGTTAACGTTTTCTTTTGATTTAATTTCAAAATACTCAAACTGCATGTAACGACGAGTTCGAATAGTTGAAATAGAGTAAATTGTTAAAATATTTAAAAATATAGGTGTGTTTTGACAAATTTCCTTTTTCAATTCATGAGTATCACTTGAGAAAGTAAACAATGAGCATTTTTTTTTTTTTACCACTCTCAATAGACTGTTTATCTTTTGGTACAAAAAGGTCATAATTGTTTTTAGCTGTTGAATTTAGACACATCGGGCTGTATCGTTTACTATGCTCAAAATCTGAAAAAAAAAGAAAAGAAGAAATAAAAATAAATAATATATATAACAGCAACGACCGTTATATCTGTTCTATAACAGCAACGACTGTTATATCTAGAAAATCGCGGTTCTTAACCATAAAAAGGTTAAAGTCGACAAAACAAAGGGAGAAGCAGATGAAAATATTCCAAAAAAAGTCATAGGAAAATATTCCAAAAATGTAGCATTTTATTTCTGAAATAAACTGAGAGTGTAAACAACGGCCGTTATTTTGTTATTTTATAAATAAGCTGTTATTTCCATGCATTACTTTTATTTAATTATTAAATTTGCAAACCCGATATCACAAGAATTACCGATATCACGTGGTGTTGAAAATTAGAAAATTAGAAAATTACATTCTGGGTTCGTATCCCATGCCAACCTACTCGGACACAAATTATCCAGCATTGTTTTTATTGAATAAAAATAGTTGTTTTTGCAGTACAGGTCCCATATATAACACAGGCGCGAGCCACTAACGTTATAACAACCGTTATTTTCATTTTAAGAACTATTTCTTAGATTTAGACAGATATATTTTTTTGACGAACTTATTTTATTTTATTGGTTATAAAAAGGAATAATACAATACAGACATACATGAATCAAATCCTCAGAGACCATCAAGTCCGCCATGTTAGACCCTCCTTTAGCAAGACAATCAATTCCGCCATGTTAGACCCTCCTTTAACAACATGCTGAAATGACACCAATGGATTCTCATACGTCTTGTCCTTCAGCCCAAATTATCAATAAACCCATGGAGCCTACTCACTTTTTTGCACCAATTCACCACATTCAAATAATCACCTTTCGCAGTACATTACAAAGCAGGCCATCTGTCCTTAATGATTTTCAACCAGGTAAAACGGCCCTAAATTCAGCCCCTTTAGACCATGCTTAAGATATAATCTATTATTTATTTTGTTAAGAAGAAGGCAACATGGTCAAGGGAGGCCATAGCAACAGAGTTCTCAACATGTTTTCTCCCAGTCAAAATAACTGCAGTTTACTGTCTAAAAAGTTGCAAATTAAAGTGAAAATGTTGTGGGTTCATGAGGATAGCACGATGATGAGAAGCCACTGGTTCCTTGTTTTTGCAGTACAATGCTTTTTTTATCATCAAAGAAAAAGTGAGACTAGAAAAGGTCACATTATTGGAGTGCTCTATCACAAAAGCACAGTTCAAGAAAACGCCAAAAATGGGTACATAACGGCCAATGTTGATCAATTTCATGTATTTTTGAAATTTGGAAAAGAACAAAGCTGTCAATTTCAAGATTGATAGCTAACGATGATTATCACCTCCTGAATGAAAAAGCTCTAATAGTATATAATCCATTTTTTTAATATGCCAAAACATATATATAGTAATACCATGTTATATTTGGCATTTTTGAAACATTTTCAGTTAAATTGTTGGTATTTTTCAAATATTTCCCCTTAAAAACCCAATATATTTAAAATAATTATTATTTTCTTTTTGGTGATGAAACCATATATATGTATATGGAAAACACTACGCAACGCCTATAGGCGAAAATAAACAATGATTTCGCCTACTTCCATCACTGTTCAAAATTCATCGTGTGGTCACGATTGTCCGGTAGTGCTTCATTTTTAATTTTTTTTTATATAAATCTAAATGACCTGAAATTTGGAGCATGTATTCATAAAAAATAGAGGAATCTTCGAAAAATATAAAAAAATATTTTATATGAAAAAAATTGACCAAAATACCATAGAAACTTTTCGGAGGTATTTTGATCAATTGTTTTTCGCGGATAATTTGTTTTATATTTTTATTAGATGCGTCTCAGTAAGATGTACATACCCTCCAAATTTCAGGTCATTCCGATGTATATAAAAAAAATGAAAAATAAAACACTATTAAACAATCGTGACCGTACGATGAAACTTGGATGGTGATGAGGGTAGGTGAAATCACTATTCATTTTCGCCTATAGACGTTAGGAAGACTTTTCCCCTATCTATCTAT